TAGGAATGCAGGAGACTGTTATTTTTAGCACACTTCATCTTATGTAATCATTTTTTTCCCCGTTGTGGTATCAAAATAGATACCAAAATACCAAATAGAACTTGGTTTCTGATAAACCTGTTTTATATCTTGGTATTTTACAAGAAGCCCCTGTAGATACTGCAGCCACCATGATAAAAATAAATCCTGGGGATCTGATCATGTGCATTTGCTCAAGAAAAACTCTTGTGGAAGGCAGCACCTTGATACCACAAACTTCTTACAGACAGAGCTGAAACTTCGGTTTATGAAACAGATTTTAGGGCTGTAAATTTCGGTTCTGCTACAGCCTTTGTCTTCCTTGCTTCTCTCTGAGCATTTAGGAAGTTAAAACAGAGGACAGCAAACATGGTGTTGGGTCTGTGTGCGCACATTCACCAGKATCAGGGTACAGCTTCCTCTGCCTCTCTGTGCCTAGTTCCACCTCACTGTTAAAATAATGATGTTTTTAGGTATTTTGGTTCATCCTGTAAATGCCTTAAACATGCACATCAATATTTCATAGCCCTTTTCAGGTCCTGTATGGAGATGATGCAGCTTTCACAACGCTCTAAGGGAGAACACAAGAGACAAGCTTGAATGAATTTTAGGTGCTACAGATASATGCTTCAAATCAAGCTAATTAAAACCCTGGGACCCAAACTGGAGATAATGAGTCAGAATTTCTCATTATTCCTATTATTAGGAGATAATTGTCTTTAAAWTTTTTAWTCAAATATGGTTTAATCCTTTTRGTGAAGACTTCTGGATGGGCCCATCCGTGTTTGGTGTGGTATTCCCCAGCAGGCAGGTATTTCTTCCTCCATACACGAGTTATAAGTAAAAAAATTTCTGCAACATCTGAGGACTGAGTCCAAGACTGAGTTTAGAGAGTCTCCGCACCATGCCAATGGGTTGCAGTGGATGGTAAAAGGATTTATGCTTCCAAGAGGAAATCTTTCCTCATGGAAGAGATTCCTGCTGAGGATTATTGGCACCTTCAGGAGAGGCAACTACATGAGGAAATGTAATTTCAGGAAAAAGCATCAGGGAGACATTTGAAAGAAGCCAAGCCTGTGCTTAAAGCRCTCGTTTGCACATCCATCTCGCAGSCACTGCAGGAGGGAGGACACTGCCGGGCAGGGACCCCGTCTGACCTGGCACAGATGTTCCGTGCAGCTTTTCCCTCCCTGCAGCGCTGTGCTAAACACCCCCTGCAGCTCTGCAGCGATAAAATACTTACCTAGCTCCCAGGGGCTTTGGGAAGCTTATCCCGTGTCTGTACAACGCTACACGAGTTCCAGCCACTGTGGGAAGCTCCCGGATTAGAAGATTCCTCTGAGATTATGAGCTCGTGTGCACAATGTTTGGGRGTTGCTTTGAAAACGGTTCTCAGACCCCTGCTGTATTTTATCCCCTCTTTCTGCTCATTCCAGAGGAATTGAGAGGGAGGCTCAGCACACACCTAAACCAGGTGCAGGGACACTGATGGTTTTTCAGTGTCTGGCATCTTGGTGAACTGGTTGGGCAGAGCTTTCTGTCCCCAGGCAGCAGCATGGCTCATGAATCGAACTCCAGGCTTGGTCAYGGGTCCAGATTCAAACCAGCAGTGCCAACACAGCCCTACTGACATGGAAACACCACCCACTGYCCTTCATGTGCACGACCTCAATGTGTGCAGGGAGGTGTCAGAGCATGGGCCAAGCTTTGCTCAATGGTGCTGAGCAACAGGACAAGAGGAACGGACAGAAACTGATGCCCAGGGAGTTCCACTTGAACACAAGGAACAACTTGTTCCCCGTGCAGTGACCCAGCACTGGGACAGATTGTCCAGAGAGGTTTGGAGTGTCCCTCATGGAGATATTTGAGAGCCATCTGGACACAATCTGTGCCCTGTGCTCTGGGATGGTCCTGCCTGAGCAGGGAGGTGGGACCAGATGACTGCACTGTGGTCTCTTCCAACCTGACCATTCTGAGATTCAGTTTTTGTGTGACCTCACTGAAATGCAGTCCTTKGGTGTGAGGAGTAAATGAATGTAACTCAGTGACAACTTTCCTTTCTCTCCATTCCTGAACTACAATGGCTTTAAATCAGTGGGTAGGAGTCCAGGGCCAGAAGAACCGGCTGGTCCTCATGAAGGCAGGATGGCACAAGGCGAGATCAGATGGTRCTTCTACTCCCCGATTCCTCAGTGAATGCCTCCGGGAGCCCATCAGGAAGCCCATCCCTGCTCGGAGCGCCGGGGCTTTGCCGCCTGCCCTCCTGATGATGTCCCGGCGAGCGACCTTCGGCACCCCAATCCCCGGGACAAGCGTCTGCCGCGTGTTTCGGCAGAGCGACAGCCACGGCCACCYGCGGCTTGGGGACACGCTGCCCACCTTTCCCAGTACCGAGGGGTGCCCCGACCCCAGCGCTCTCCCCATCCCTGGTGGGGGCGGGCCGGCGCGGGGGCGGCCCCAGCTCCATCCCTGCCCGCCCGCCTCCCGCAGCCAGTCGGGGCGGAGAGGCGGCACTGGAGGGCTCCTCCGCCAGCAGCCGGCCGGGCAGCGGTGCACATGGCATGTCTGATGGCGGCTTTTTCCCTGGGCAGCGCTTTGGTAAGGCGCGCCCTGCCTTCCCTCCGCGGGGCCGCGGCKAGCGCCGGGCGGGGGGCGAGGTGCGGGGCTGGGGGATGGAGATGGAGCGAGGGCTCAGCGGGGAGCTCCCGAGACGCTTCCTGAGGGAAAAGCTGGGTCGGAAGGTGGGTCCGGGGATGCGGGATGCAGGATGCACAATGCGGGGTGAGGGATGCGCGATTCGGGATGCGGGATAAGGGATGCGTGATTCAGGATACAGGATGAGGGATGCGGGATACAGGATGCGCGATTCGGGATGCGGGATGAGGGATGCGGAATGAGGGATGCGGGATGCGAGATGCGAGATGCGGGATGAGGGATGAAGGATGCGAGTGTACGAGCGGCCGGCGGCGCACGGCGGGACTTGACCGCTGGTTACCTCTGTCTGTAGCTAAGGCGGGGGGGATTATCGCCGAGCATGCTCCCTGCGCCGCTGCGCCCCGCCGGCTTCCCAACGGATTTGCGGAGGGACCGTAACCTTTGCATAACACCCGGGGCCGGCGAGGGACGGAGCGGGCAGAGCCCGCGGGACCGTCCTGCCGCTGGGACCGGGCGGGCGCTGCCGTCCCCGCCGGGCGCCGGGAGAGAGCCCGGCTSCTCACCGGCGGAGCCAAACTGCATGGGAAATAGCCCAAAGTGTGCAAAAGCAGCGGAGAGGTGAGCGCGATACTGCGAAGCCTCCTCTCGCCGTGCGCGGCGTGCAGGGCTTGGTGCGGGCGCAGGTCGGGATGCGGGGTCGGGGCATCACCGCGGGGTGACAGCGGAAAAGAGAGCGGGCTGCAGGGCTTAGGGCGTGCAGAGCGGGTTCAAGTGTGTCTGTGCCTCACACGAGGCTTGGCTAAGTCCGTGGCTGTCGTAGCCGCGGGATTGCCCAGGTTTTTCCAAACGAAGGTGATCCCACAACCGGGGGGCATTTGGACCATCCCAGGTGTTCGGGGGGTCCTCACCCATAGCAGRTGGTCCCTGGAGGAGGCAGGTGTGTGAATGGGCATTTCTGTCCACAGAGTGTCTAAAATTGTTTTATGTCCCAGTAACAAAAGTCTTTGGCTTCATGCTCTCGGATCATTGAGTAGTCAGAGGAAAGGATCTTGTCCAAAGGATTTTTCTTTTTGAATCGATCTAAACTGAAGAAGCTCTGACTGTCACGTGGGTAATCAAGGTGACCTGCTCATTGAGAGTTAGTTTTTGGATATTCCCTCCATTGTGTGAAGGTGTTTCTCCAAATAAAATAGCTTGTGAGTGCCAAAGTAAGCCTTGAAAATATTCAGGGAAAAATATTGCTAACTTGCCTTCTCTTAGTTTTTTAGGGAAGTTCCCCTGCTTTAATTGCTGAGTTCTAAGATGTTTCAYATTACTCTTGTTATGTTCAAATTACATACCATTGCACTCAACTATTTAAGAATTTGGCAGTAAGTGTTACTGGATACCTGACTTCTAAGTAAGTTGAGAGCACTATTAAAATCTTGTTCTTGAGAAAATGCAGCGAGCAGAACTGATCTTTTTCATCCAGAACTTGGATGAAGAAAATGAAGACACCAGCTACAGTGTGGTTATGCAGGAGTGGTTTTTTTTTTCATCGGTGATTATGTAGGACTGGGGTTTTTTTAATTTTTTTTTTTGTCAGCTTTCATGACAAGTGACTGATCTGAGCTGTGCTGCTGTTACAGCAAAGATGGGAAAACCAGGAACCATGAGAGAGAGGATGGAAGTGGCACAGTGTGGAGGAGGCAGTGTTACTTCTTAGTTAATTGGACGAATGGAGGGAAACAGTGTCAGGACCTGCAKCTCTGCTTGCATTCGTGCATTGAAAAGGAGTGCAGCACATCTGCTTTCCAACAGATAACTTTGTAGATTGCTGGGCAGATGTGTCAGCATGAGAAACCTGGCACATAAGCCATTTACAGATGTCCTTTCCAGTACAAATCTGCATAAAAAATACTAAATTTCCAAATAGACGACTGTGCAGATGTTTGGCTCTGCTTATGACATCCACCAAACAACAGATGACAGTGAAGAGCTTCTGAACTGTTCAAAAGTCTGTTTAGCTGAAGAAAATTCGTGACTGTGATTCTTTTGAGCTTGCACTCATCCTGATTATATCAGTGCAAGGCACCTATGCTGGTAAAAGGAATGAAAAAAATTGCAGATTTTGTATGCATAACAAAAAAAAA